CTAGCGGCATGCTTATGCCACGATCCTATGTTTTTGCTCCAAAGCGTGAGCCCCTCGGGCCCTGGATGCTGGGCTTCGCCCACGCGCTGTGCGCGGTAACCGCGCCTGGTGATCATCTGGGCCCCAGCCGGAAGCAAGAGATCAGCCATGTGACCTGCATACCTCAGCGGGGCCCCAAACCGTCAGCACGATTGTCGAGCAGCTGGCTTTTTCCAAAGCCCGCCAAGCTTCCTCCCATCCTTAGTCGAGGCAGCCTTAGCAGCATCGCGGGCCTTTCTGAGGGCTTTGTGGCATCCCAGCTCAGTGGAGGCCTTCTGCCTCCACTCTTTCCAGCACTTCTTTCTCTCTGCCACACTGACACTTTTTCGGTCGAGCTTGACCTTGGGACAGAGGTAAAGGGGGAGCATCTTTCTCGTGATTTCCAACCCACAAGCTTTGCATCTGTGGCACGCATCATACTGAGTTTTGCCTTGCTTGTTGGTAGTCGTACGCCAGCTCGTGAATTCCTCAGTGATGTCGTGCGCACCCGGCCACTTGGCCTTGGAGAAGGCCTGAAACACGAGGGCCCAACGTTTGTCATAGGAGGCCTTGGCAGCACATTCACGGGAGGCCGCATGAGCCAGACTCGTGGTGTGGCGACAAAGCCCTGCACTTTACATAAGTGCTGGCTTCTCTGGAGATCCGGGCGCAAAGCTTCGTCTGGGCCAGTGTACACGCGGAAAGAGCAGTAGGGGCAAGGCCACCAAAGTTTCCGACTCCCCTCTCCCTCCTGAGCAACCATCGGAAGGCCGCAGTTCACCTTGGTAAGTGTATAGGGTTGTGGCGAGTGCTACGGGCCTGCCTAAGTCGCAGGGTGGGCACACGAGAGATATAAGGCTGGATACCTTTCCTACTCTCAGCATCAGGGGCCTCAGTGTACGCCGCTGTGGGGGCTTGCTTGCGTTGTATGCGAGAGCGTTGAAGGAGGTACAGCCCTTGAGCACTCAGACTCGTAGCCTCTAGGGCAGACTGACCCTCAACCGCTCCCACACAGGAGTACGAGTCCCACGGCGCTACACTCGCAGCAGAAGCATCTTTACAAGACAAGTCTCTGAATCGAGAGGCCTCGTCCTGAGCAGCACGTTGCCTATGGGTCGATTGACCACTTGGTCCAGCGACTGGCACAACAGTGTGAACTGAGGGCATGCCAAGAGACAGGTCACCAGTAGACACGACCGTGTGAACTGAGGGAGTCGCGTCCAGTCTTGGCCTCTTGCTGCCAGAGGCCTGCCTAATAGCGGGGGACTTGCAGCCACAGCTGCCAGCAGACCCTTTAGGAGCACCTGCGGCCAGCGTCGCCCCACCCTTCTTCGCAGACGAGGCTTTCGTGACCACAGTGTGCACTGAAGGAGTGCCCGCGGACGCCACAGTGTGCACTGAAGGAGTTGCGCCCGAGGCAGCCTTGCTGGGGGCCCTGCTTGAGGCTGATCCTCGCCCTGCCCCTGAGAGGTCAACGACAAAGGTCGGCGTTTCCTTGGTCCATGAAACCGGGATCTGGGCATCCTTTGGGGGCAGTAACGCCGTGTAGCGTCGATCTCGAAGAATGACAACCGCCGCCTGCTTACCTCGGGCACAGCATGCGTGTCCGTTTCGAAATCGTGTCGCCAGAACGTACCACGACCACTCCTTGATGTCGGGGTTGTCTTGGCAGGGAGCAAAATGCCAAACAACAATAGGAATGCCTAATTTCTCAGCAGTGGCTTGTATGAGAGCCCCTTCAGCCCACGTGGTAGCCTTGGCAACATCCTTAAGCCATTCCTCAAAAGGCGCCTTGCCCTGAAAAAGGGGCCTGAATCTAGCCGTAGCCGTACACTTGTGGACATGCAGGGCAGCTTGCGTCCGAACCCATGCTTCATTTGACTTTGCCTTATCAGCCGAGATGGGCGGAGCATCAGCGTGGCAGCCTTGCTCATGGACCGCAATGCTGCGGAAAAAGCAATCTCCGATGCCTCCGGAGTCTACGTCCACCCAGCCCTGCGCGCAAGCAGTGTCCGGGTCATGCGCAGCAGGCGCTGAGCGCCCACGATGTTCATCAAGCTCTTGGTCGAGCTCTTCAACCTCAGCATTTGCACCATCCTGGTCTATTGCCGTGGCAGAGACTTCCTCACCCCCTTCGTCCTGATTGGGGCGCTCACGCGATCTAGAGCGACTGCGGCTGCGCGCCTGAGTGGTGAGGCCGTCGCGTCGCCCCTCCGCCCTATTAGTGGATGGGGCAAGGCGCGGCCTCAGTCATGGGCTCATCTGTTTGCGAGGGGACTTTCCTCGTAGGGCCTCGGACGTTCTGCAGGACTGTAACTTTCCTTGAGGTCTGGACCGCCCTCTGTACCTCAATTAGCCAGGGACTAGTTTCCCCTTCCAGCTCGTATCTCCAGCAACTAGGCTGCGGGTTAGCCGGCGGGGCTAAAGCTTTCACATGCCAAGTGCCTCGACGGTTTAGAAGTGACAGTGATCTGCTTCCATCCCTGGCCCTCCAGAAATTCATGCATGTCAAAATCACTCCAAAACCTGGGCGCACCTCGGATGACAACATGCCTGATTCGCTCAGGTTGTGAGTCAGTGGGGAGCCAGGTTGGGAAGCCGAGATTACTGCCTCCACCGGCCCTGTAAATCAAGCATTGGTTTCGTTCGAGGCCGAGCTTCACTGCCCGCCTGAAGTAAGTTTCCTCTTGCTCTTTCGGCTCACGGCCCGAAGTCCGCTCGACTGGAGAAGCTTGTCCGCTGAGGAGGCTTTGACCCGCAAAAACCCCACAAGGTCTCGGGAGAGAGTCTCGTCTCTCTTCCAAGTCCCACCCAGCAGCTCAGAGACTGCACTCCTGAGGACGCAGCTAAGGCCTGAACGACTTCACTTGGGCTGTCTTCAGACGTAGGGTCGTTACGAGACAGCTGCCGAAAACAGACCGGGGCACTGACCCTGATCGAGACTCTCTGCTCACTAGGAGCCGCAGCCTTAGCCACCTTCACAGCAGGCGGCAGCCAAGGCCCTCTGAAAGGCCCCACGCGAAGCAGAGCAACAGGTTCGAGCTGAGCTCCCTGCTTGCCTCGGTAGAGCGACAGGCGTGCCGGCGTCCCTTGTCCAGAGAGGCGCGCCTGTCCCGTAAGAAGAGCCGTGAGAGGCCCCGGCGATCCTGAAGCTGCCCAGAAAGCTTCAAGTTGGGCAAGAGCGTCCTCACTTGTCACTTCAACAACGTTGTCCGGTTGTTCTTCGTTGTTTTTGAAGGTTTCAACTAGGTGCGCAAACGTCATGATACGAGGAGTGATAGATGCATCCCAGTCTTGGGCGCGTAGGGCAGTAACCCTAGCACGCGTACCCCCAGCCTCAGCAGTCTTGGGAGGCTTAGCGGAGCCTCTAGCCTCTCTGAGAGAGGGCCAAGAGGACGAGTCAGTAGAGAGAACAACTCTTCTGGGAGGGGCCTCTTCACCTCGGCCTTTGGTAGCGCAGAGAGTCCACCAGCCAGAGGGGTCCACCCAGTAAGCCTTGCCCTTGAACCACACCTTCTTCTGGTTGGGCTGGGGAGAAGAGAGGGGAGGAGCCTTCGTCGGAGCAGGGGGAGGCTTTTCACTGACATGTGGTTCCCACCAGCCTGTGTCAGGATCCACCCAAAACAAGGAGCCTTTGTACCACAGTTTATGCTTGGGGGCTGAGGCTTCGTTCCGCTTGCGTTTAGTAGCCGCAGACCCGCCACTTCCGCCAAGCAGACTAAGCCTAGCAGCTGAGAGACTTGCAACCTGCGCAGCCGAAAGGCCGTCGCAAACTACCGCACTTGTGCTGCGCAGCCCTCGCACAACACGACTGGTTCTAGGTCTGAGACGGCAGCCTTTTCCACGTAAGGCCTCGACTTGTGGCAAGGGCCGAGCCAACAGCCTGCAGCGAACTCGGGGCCTCGCCAGCCGCGTCCGCCCAGCCCATCTGCACTCGAGCGCGCAGCAACGTGAAAGCTTGGGTTTAGGACGCTTAAGCTTGTTCAAAGACTGCCGCTTGTGACGCCTACGACGCCATCTCGTACGCAGCTTCTCTCTGCCAACTGAGGCCGAGGCTGCTGAGGAACCGACTGACACGGAAGTCAGTCGCACTTGACTTACGTCTCGAGGTGAGAGGGGTTCGGGTAACCAAACAGCAAGAAGCCCCAGGAAAAGCAACCAACCCAGGCTAAGAACCGGGTCACCCCAGACCACCTCGAAGAAAGAGCAGATCAAGAAGCCAAGCATCTGCGCGCAAGCCCCACAGATCTCAATGACATTCTTGATCTCGTTCTTGTAGTTCGCGCCCCACCATGGCATGACAGTCGGCACGGGCGTGGTGCAATTAATTACGGGGGCCCAATCTACGGGGCCGGTGTTGTAAAGCTCGTCCTCGAAGTACGGCGTAGTGCAGGAAGCGCCCGCACCGGAACACACGCACGAAACGACAAGGACGAAGCAAAGGAAAGGACGGAACGGGAACGAAGGCAGGGAGGGACAACTCAACGGCTGCCCCCGGCCGTACTTCTTTTCTTTAAGGGTCGCAAGGGAAGGACTCCCCTGCAGAGTCTGGCAATCATGCATCTTGTCTTTTCTTTTGATCATCTCTTGTTCTGGACCCAGTGGTCCGAATCGAGGGGTCTTAATTTCGCTCTTTTTTGTCTTTTCGTGTACTTGCAATCTCAAAACTAATTCTAGCGGCTTTCGCACCTGCGTGTAGAAGAACACGACCAGGCCCGCACCAACTGCGAGGAAGTAGCCGTCAATGATGCACCCCGTAGGATTCTACGGGGGAGTGGGGGGCTGTGTGCGACGAAAGAAGGAGCGGGTCAAACTTTCATCCTACCGCAGTATAAACCTCAGGCGGAGCATAAGACTTTCCTACGGTTGATGATATAAACCCTGCACTACCCATACTAAGGAATATACCATAGCTCCCATAGTCAAGAGCCATTAAGGAAGTACCGTAAGCCCTAAAGCGTAGAATTTCCCTTCCGGGCTGCAGTAGGAAATGGATGGGCTCTGAAGGCACTGCCAGGTCGTTGATGCGAACGAAGGTCAATTCGGCGACAAGACCTCGAGGAGTTTTCAGGCTCCTTTCCATGTGTTACTTGGAAGGTCGCGGGACGTAATAAGTAACTAGTTGTGTAATTGTAGACGTACAGGTACCATAATCCCAACTAGGCACCCACTTATAGGGCACCCATAGCTCTACTTATGACTTATACTTACTAAGTCCCCCGACCCCCCAAGTAGGGTCTTCGGGCTCAGGGCTTGAAGGGCTCCTAAAAGGCTCCTTTCGGTGGTTTGTATAAGCTTCCAAAACCCTGGGGATCCAAGGGCTAATAAAAAAGGCTTTTGGGCCCAAATACCATAATACATGATGCTTTCGGACTATATTGATCCCTCCTTGATTAAGTATGTGTTGGGCTCTCTGGGTGGAGCCCTCGTGATGCTCAAGAAACATAATCCCAGAGGCAATGTCCCTTAACTAAGTAATTGAGCTTCAAGGCTTGAAGCTTTAAGGTCCAGGAAGCTCAGGTATCAACAGGGGTTCTACAAGTGCTTCTACAACGGCTTCTGGATTTGAGACTGTTAGGGTCCCCAGTTGGGGTTTGGAATTCAGGGTTTTAGGGTGTAGGCTTTGAAGGCTTGCTGTTAGGGGTTTTGCATTAATAAGGGTTTCTGCGATGTGTCTCGATAAGGGCTTCTATAAAAGGGTGTAGGGGTTGGGGTTGGGAAAGTGTAGGATGGTTTAGGGATTCGGTTTCAGGGTTTTGTAGTATGGTTCGTGCTTCCTGTACCCAGACCTTCCAAAACCCCTTAATTATGGAATATACCTTATCCTTAATATGATTTAAGATATATGACTTAATTAAAGGGTTTTGGATCCCGACTCCCGGGTCGACAGCCTCACACATGAGGCTGGAGACGTGCTGGTGCCGCGAGCCTACTTGGAGGCGCAGGGGACTTCGTAAGGGTTCTTAAAGGGCTCCTTAAAGGGATCTCTAGGGTTCCTTAAAGGGATCTATGGGGTTTAGGGTTTAGGGTCTACTTGGAGGGGCAGGGGACTTAGTAAGTATAGGTTATAAGTAGAGTTACAAGTACCTTAACTGGAGTTACACCAGTTATAACCCTACTTATAACCCACTTAGTAAGCCCCCTGACCCTCCCAGTATGCAATTGCTCCGAAACAAAAGACCAGACCGGGGTTCGCAGCTTCTCCAATTCGGGTGGCCCTAAGGCCGCGGCCAGAAATGATTCGATTGGCCCTACCACTATGGGCTATTAGACCTTATGGGTACCTTAACCTACCCTTAATAGGGTCCTAATAGGGATCTTTAGGGTCTAACAGCCCATAGTGGTAAGGACGGCCAGTGATGATTCGTTTGGCCCTAAGGCCGCGGCCAGTAATCGAATAAGCCTGAAACATTCCTTGGGTGGCGGTAAGGGCCGTAGCAGGAGGAGGCCGCTGCCACGATGGCTCCCACCGGCCCCACACCGTCAAGCTGCCTTTGTTGGAGGTCGCTGTTTGCAGGCCTTTGATCGCCTTTTTGTGGGCGGAGCCTTGTTCGCCCGGCGAATTGTGCGCAGCGTTGTGTAGCACCCGATCTCCACCAAATCCTAAACCCTAAACCCTAAATCCTAAACCCTAAGCCCTAAACCCTAGACCCTAAACCCTGAACCCTAAGCCCTAAACTCTAGACACTCCTGTCTCCAATGCTTAAGCGTTGAGAGAGAGGACGCGGCCTCTTCTTAGACTGCCCAGCGCACTGACAAAGGTAGTAGGCGATTCGAGTCCTGCCCAGAGAGCCCAATACCCCTTAATTAGGGAAGATACCTTAAATCACAATATTAAGGGGCCCCTATTATTTAGGGTATATTCCTTAATTGAGGGTATTGGGCTCTCTGGGTGAGTGTCTCAAGGCCGCGCTTCTTACACTTGTGACACGCAGCATTCTCGGTCTTTCACTGCTTGTGCGTGGAGTCAACCAGCTGGTGGGCTGCGTACACTCCACGTGATGAATAATTAGGAAAGGTCTTACAACCCTTAGAAACACAAAGTTACTTCAGTATCTTTTTGCAGCATGTCCTGGATCGAAGCTCAATGCGAATACGACAAAACAAATTCAAGTCCAATGTTGTAAAACGCCTAGACTATGGTTGATGATATAAATAGGCATTACCCGTGATAAGGATTATACCACACATTATTCTATAGTTTAGAGTAGTTGAAAAGTAATGCAGGAATTTGTCACTAGTCATACGCACACCCTACCGACCAAAACAAGCCACATGCCAACCTGCAACCCCATGTAAAGCCCTCACCTCTCAAATCCCGAAGTCCTACACAACAAATCATAAACCCTGCTAGGAACCCTTATGGCAACCTTAACTAACCATCCTAAAACATCATGAACCTGACAGGGAGCGGTTGGTGTCGCCAGCTAAAAGGATCTCCTTCACGGCCTTGTACTGCTTCAGAAGCTTTGCCCCGAAGATCCTGATCATTGAACTCAGGCTTCTACTAATAACAGTTCTTTAGCGGACCTGCTGGGGATCTGTTTGGGTTGCTTAGGGCCTAGAGCTTCGTCCCAAAGATCAAGACAGGGGCTTCTATCAGGGACCTTCGAGGGATCTGCAAGGGTACTTTTGGTCTTGGGGAATTGGATGTTGGGCTTTTGTGATTTGGGCTTAGGGGCCCTGGGGTCAGGGGTATTGGGTTTAGGGCTTGGGTGTTGGTTTCATGATTTTGAGGGCTGTCCAACTGTGCGACGAGAACCGCGGGTTCAGAGATTGGGGCGGTTTGGGTAATATGAGGCGCGTCCTCTTATGCATGTTGCTGTCGGTGGCCAGGAAGACCTGCATCACAGCCTCCAGCGGAGCAACCTGGGCTCAGAAAAAATATTTTTTCTTTTTTTTGTTGAGGGCTCTTGTCTTGAATTTCGCATCGATGCCCGGGAGGCTCAGATCAAGAGTGTTGCAAAAATGTTGAGGGCTCTTTTCCGACTGCCGAACAGCTAGAATTCCTTACCAAAAAGACGGTTTAGGGTTTGGGGTTTGGGGGTTTAGGGTTGTGGTTTTTGAAACTACCCATAGGCTCTATAGTAGGGAGGTTATGGGTAGTTTTCAGACTTGCTGCTTGTTTAAGTTAAACAAGACTGACGGGTAATGAAAGCTGAAAATTAGACCGTTTGAAGGTTCCATAAGAACCTGAACAGTCTTTACACTGTGGTTCATCAGGGTTGTATTGATGGTGGTGCATACTCTCAAAAAGTCCCTGTTTCGGAAGTCTTGACTGTGGCAAGTTAGGGAGCGTAGCAAGGTCACGTGCACTAGCATCAGAAACTCCCATGACCCAAAGGGTCCAAGTACATAATCATCATATACTGACCCAAATCATAACCTACATATCTACTTTCCTAGACCCAAGTACCTAATTATTGGGTCCAAAGGACCCTTGCGGTTAATGTAAGTGTACTCTAGGGAAAGAGGGTGCTCAGGCTTGGGTTCTACGAACTGGTCATTATTTATGGAAGGCAGCTACAGCTCGCATGCCCAGTAACCTAGGAAAAAACAGGGCTTTTTGGAATTAACCTAGGACTACGAAAAGGGATACGGGTACTACTGGGCATCCTGGGCTGTAGCTATAGAATCTTGAACGGCGGGGGTAGTTCAAAAAGCGAGAGTACTAGGGAGCTTCAGGGACCGTAAAGGAGTGCTCGGAAAAGCTGGGGATTACAAGTTTGGGACCCGTTTAGGGTTTAGGGATTAGGGTCTCTTAAAGCTCCCATAATCCACCAGGAACCCTAAACCCTGCCGGTCTTCCTTGCCAGGAAACATCGTACTGCAGCAGAGGTATCTTGGACTGCTCCGCACCGCGAACGCTGTTCATCGACTTTTCCTCGCTGGTTAGGGCTAGGGCTTTGCGGGGTTTAGGGCTTCTTGTTTAGGGTTTAGTGTTTAGGTGTGTTTCATGCGCTTTGCTGAATTTAGGGGTTCATTGAAGGTCTGCTTTGTGCATTTGTATGGCAAGCTTCTCGTTAAAATGGCTCCTGCCAGTTTTGAGGCCTATGGTTTCGGAAACAATCGGGTTTTACTTGGGTCTTTAGGTTCAGGTTCATTTAAGCTTCCAGCTGACCTAGAGCTCCACTTCTTCTAAGGCAACATAGACGTCCTAAACCCCAAGCCACTTGCGCACAATCGCCCTAAATGCTACAGTAGAAGCCAGAGAGTTGGAACATAATTATCCTCATGCCCTTAAAGTAAAGTAGAGGGAATCCCAGCATGAATCATCCCAAATCGTAAACCGGTGTTCCAACTTTCTGGGATGCAGGCTAAAGACCCTCAAGCCGCTAAGCCCTAAACCCCTAAACCTAAACCCCTAAACAATAAACCCTACACCCCAAAGAGTTGCCAACGAAGGCTCCCGATGAAGGCTCATGGAAGCCTCACCCAGCTGTGGCCATTCCCAAACCTCATTCCGTGTTAAGGGTCACGGGTTTAGGAAGTAAGGTTAAGGGTTGTTGGCTTTCAGATTCAGGCTTTAGGGCTTAGGAATGAAGGTTAGGGTTGTAGGATTCAAGATTCAGGCTATAGAGTTTAGGATCCAGGGACCAGGGATTAAGGTTGTAGGGTTTACCTGTGACCCCAGACCCTACAGAATAGTACGTAGGCTATGACTCCGTAATTTTGGAGTAGAACCCTGAACCGGTAGGTCCCCCCATGTAGGGGTTTAGGGATTCCTTTTTAGGGATCTATACGGGCTCTTTTTTTAAAGGATTCTGGAGGTTTATTAAGAGTTTTTAGGGTTTGGGATGAAAGGTGGGCTTTGAATGCTCAGAAGCTTTCATGGTTCGGCTCTGGGGGCTCCAGGGTATGTATGTTTGCGTGTATGTACGCATATATGTATGTGTGTATGTATTTTGTATGTATGTACCTATATTGAGAAAGAGGGGGGAGAGAGAGAGAGAGAGAGAGAGAGAGAGAGAGAGAGAGAGAGAAAGACATATATATATATATATAGACATACATATGTATGTATACAGAGAGAGAGATCAAAAGGCTCGATAATATTGAGCATATACCCGTATAGTATGCACACTGTACAAACTTTGGCGTTAAAGTGATCCCTATATAGTTGAAATCCCCAGAACTAGCAACCCTCAAGAGGGAGCCACACCGACACACGCAGTGGGCAACTGTTCTCATGCTTGAGCCGGTCTGCAAATCGCCACACCAGTCAACTTGCTGTTGGAGGTGAATCCAAAGGAAACTCCTCAAGGAAACCCCGATGGTCCCAGCAACCCTAAACCCTAAACCCTAAACCCTAACGTGCGCACGTCTTCCGGAAGAGCAATGCGTGGAAGTGGAGGTTTCGGAGGCTGAGGTCTCAAAGGCCTCGTTACAGGCTGAGTCAGATGAACCTCTGGCGCAGCTGGCACCGGTACCGGTTCAAAGCGACTCGGCTCAGAGCTAGAATCTAGAAGGCCGAAAGTCCGTTTCAAGCTCACCCTCGGACTCCGAGATCTGGATAGCACCTTCTTCACCAGTAATATCAGAAGCTTCCGAAGCCACTGAATCCGGTGAAGGGTGCCAGAACCGATTAGTGCCGAGAGGTCTTTGCACACCACCTGGTCGAATCACTGGTGCATTCTCGCCTGCGTGCTCCACATAAGCCGTTCGGCGTCGCCGCGCACGACGACCACTGCAGATGCCACGCGGTCCACGAACATCGGGTGAGCGAGATCCCTGGTCCATGCACAGGCGGCTGGCACACCTTCGCACGTAGAACACCCGACAACCAGAACAAGAACACCGCAGAACAGAGCAAATACGGAACTGATAACCAATTGAAATCCCCACAACCAGCAACCCTCACGAGGAAGTTCACGGTGTCGTTGACCTGATCTATACAGAATGAGGGTTTCACTCGAATTCTTTGAGGGCCAAACGACATACTATATGAGCATGAGCACATGGACCCTTTTGGGGAGCATTTTACTCAACGATCCTAGATTGTATTTGCTGTAGTGTGCCGTTCTTGTAGTTGAGGGTTTGTATTTCCGTCCTGAACGAGCCAACCGAAGGGAAACCTTCAACGGTTTGACCAACACATAGGTATTTGAGCCCATCTTGTGAATTGCGGTCTGGGGAACACACCAAATCACGAGTTTCAGTGTTTTTGCTTCCACAGCACCCAAGATGACAAAAAGCCATGAAGCAGAGTTGCAAAACGCAGAAGCGTCCCACATGTTAGGATACCCAGTAACCTATGAATAAAAAGGCCTCTCTTTTTGGTATTGGGTAACTTTATAAGGAACCTAGGACTACAAAAAGGGAATAAGGGTACTACTGGGCATCCTAGTTTAGCGAGATTTCGAAAGACAGAGCAAAATCCGGTCCACACAAAGCAAAGAAGCAAAACTTGCCCAAAACAAGCCTTAACTCCGGACCTGAACCCTATACAGTTTCAATTAACCCTTAACATTGAGCCCTATGAACCCTTACCCCTAAACCTTATAAACCCTCAACCCTGGATCTTATGCATCCTCAACCCTAAAACCTATGAGCCCTATAGGCCCTAAACCTTGTAAACCCGTAACCCTAAACCTTATAAACCCTTAACGCTAAGCCTTGCACACCCTTATCCCTATAAACCTTATCTTAACTCTAAACCTTAATTATAAACCCTTGACCCCTTTAACTTATACACCCTCAACCCTATAAACCTTATAAAGCCTTAACCCTAAACCTTATAAGCCCCTGACCCTAGACCCTATAAGCCTTTAGCCCGAAGCCATGTAAACACCCAGCCCTAAGCTTTACCCAAAGATGCCAATACCACCTAATTAAGGAATATACCTTAAACCATATAATATTAAGGCTTCTATAACTTAAGGTATATCCCCTAATTGAAGGATATTGGGATCCCTGAATTTATGCCCTGTGCTCTAAAGCTTTGTTTATACACTCTTAACCCGAAAACGAAAACACCCTGAAGCCTATAAACCTTATATCATAAGCCCTTAACTCTGAACTTCTACATCCTTAACCCTAAAGACCTTAAAAGCCCCTAACTCCGAACCTTTTTATAAACTCTTAACCCAAAAACCACAACACCCCCAACCCTAAACCTTTTATAGGGCCCCAAAAAAGCACATAAGCAAAAATTAGGATAGGGATATCCCATATAAACCCCCTTATAATGAAGCCCAATAAGGTAGGGATATCCCTATAAAATGCTTATGCTTATGTGCTCAAAATATAAGCCCTTAACCCTAAACCCATAGCTTAGCCGAGGCACAGGGTTCGAGGCTTCCAGCGGGTCGAACCGTGCTGGCCTGATATGAACTCCGTTAGTTGAGCGCTTTGTACCATTGGGGGTTTGGGGTTCACGGCTTAAAGCTTAGGGTTTAAGGTTTGGGGTTTAGGGTTCAGGGTTTAGTGGGGTTTCATAGGGGTTTGGTGGGGTTTAGGGTTTAGGGTTGCTTTTTTAAAGCCCCTAATTCTAGCAGGGCCACAGGGGGTTTACGGACTCACCCCACCCAAGTCATGAACCCCACGTCTTGGTGCCCTCCGGTAAGCCCGAAACAGGTCAAAAGAAAAGCCCAACAATCCTGGAAAGAAAGTGCCCTACAAAATCCCATGCAACCCATTAGAGGAACCCTACAAGCCCCATAACACCACATAGAACCCATTAAAACAACCACAAAGCAGGCCCTACAACACCCTTTAGAGTAATGTTGTGCGCAGCCTGCCTAAGGGATCAGATCCGAAAAAAAACAATCTGCGAAATAAAATTTACGCAACAGGTGAAATGAAATGTGCGTGGAAATGTGAATCTGAAACAAGTGTACTTGAAAGGCGAACTGCACTGTGAACTACAAAAAAATACGAAAATTAATGCGAAATAAATGTGAAAAATGTGCAAAATTGTGACAATGCGCAAACATGTGAAATTATTCGCGAAACACAGGTTTGCGCATGTTTCAACTTTTCACAAGTTTCACATAACTCTTCACATTCTTCTCCGTGTTTCCACACTTTTGGCGCTTTTTTCACATTTTCCCTGGTACAATGCACTTTTTGGGGGTGGGGTGGGGGCTGGGCTGGTGGCCCGCGGCCCCAGCCAGCCCCCCAGCATAGCCCAGACCCAACCAGCCCCCACCCGACCTACCAAAAAGTGCCGTTTCCAGAGGGCAGATTTGAACAAATGTGGCAAAGCGTGGAACCAGGGCAACAGTGTGAAAAATGTGAAAGATTTGCGAACATGTGCAAATGAAAGAGGAGAATAGTCTCCTCTACTCCACTATCACAAATATTTCACTGTTTTCCACATGTCTTTCATACTTACTTCATTTACTTCACATTCTGGTCGGAGATCACATTTCGATTCAAATTTGGATTCACAGTTGCTTCACAACTTGAACTACTTTCAAAAATAATGCCGATAGGTAGGCCTGCACAACTTAAGTAGGGGATGGATGCATGCATGTATGGCGGATGGATGATGGATGATGGGTGATGGATGACGATGGATGGCGGATGATGGATGGATCCCATCGAACCTATTAGAAGCTGGAATCCTAAAGCCCTACATCCACTTACCATCCCAAGTGGAAACCCTAAACGGCCCTAAACCCTCAAAACATGAAAGGAATCCAAAAGCCTCCTGTTGACAGCTATCCAAGTGGCAAGAGCCCGAAGATGTCTAAAGTGCTGCCACTCCAGGAGGTCTGGTCCTTGCAATCGGCGGCTTGGGGTTAGGGAGCTTGAAGGGGTTACCCTAAGGCTCCGAAAGGGGTCATGGGCTTTCTAGGGAAGTTTAAGGGGTTAAGGTTTAGAGTTCTCTAGGGTTTGGGGGCTGGGGTTTATCGAATTTTGAGGGTTTCGGGCTTGGGGTTACGGGAAAAAACTCTAAGGTTTGGGGGCGGTGGTTTATGGATTTTTAAGGGTTTCGGATTTCGGGCCATTTCGGGTTGGTTCGGAGTTCTATAGAAGGGTACAGCAGGTTCTAGTGAGGCACGAAGGGTGTCGGACCCATGATGTATGGCTTAGGGTTATAACGAATTCAATGGGCTCTGAGTTTTACGGTGTTAGGGTCCACAGAACCGAAAACCCTTGAATCAAGCAGTATACCCTTGAGCCATATTCGCAGGAGCGGTGAAAGCTTCGGACAGGCACCGCCGTCCTACTCTTGATCCCCTGCCCACAGCACCCCTCAAATTTCAGTAACCCTAAACTAGTCATACACACCCATCTTTGTGCTTCCACTATTCCACAAAACCCTTCACCCCAAACACCCAAGCACCCCAAACCCTGCAAAACACAGCAGCCTGTGACTCCTCATAGGGTATACTCAGCAGCTTGTTGAATCTACAGGTTTTTACGCCCTTGCATTCCACCCTTTTAGTAAGCCGTCTAGCCCTAAGGCTCCGAAAGGGGTCTAGGGCTTTCTGGAGGAGTGTTCCGGCTTTGGGGGCTACGGTTTGGGATCTCACTACGAGGGTCCAAGAGCCTTAGGGGAAACCCCTGTAGTAGAGGAACCCTTCAATAAAGGAACCCGCAAAAAAACACACCCCATCCGAGTGGGCCTCGTCCTCCTCAAAGGCCAAGTTCACGAACGAGGACAAGTGATTCAGAAGCTCGTTGTAATCTTGAACCTTTGACGATGGCATTTAGGGTCTAGGGCTGCTGGCGAAGTATGATTCAGAAGCTCACTTCCTAAACCCTGAACCCCTAAACTCCACACCCCTAAACTCTAAACCCTAGTTTTCCTCACGCGGCAAGAGGCGGCTTATCCTGTTGCTAGTATTAGACATGTAAGGGCCTTATCAGTAAGGCCGCTGTATTAAAGGAGTCGGCAAGACAACTAGGATATCAGGCCAGGGTAACTAGGATACCGACTTGGAGAGATTATGAGCTATTCCTTCCAGCCTTTGCAACCAACATCCCTTGTTTTTTCTTTGAGAACTTCAAGGCCTATATCTCCCACTACAAGGCCTGTAGGACTGTGTGACTGTTTGTTACATTACATTATTACGAGCCTACACGAGAGGGGGCCTTACGACACGACGACGACGACGAAAACGACGGCTACACTGACGACACGAGGAACCTGGAACCCCAAGGCTGTAGGACTGTAGGACTGTGTGACTGTACGAGGAACCTGGAACCCCAAGGCCTGTAGGACTGTGTGACTGTACGAGGAACCTGGAACCCCAAGGCCTGTAGGACTGTGTGACTGTTTGTTACATTATTACGAGCCTACACGAGAGGGGGGCCTTTACGACACGACGACGATGAGACTGTTTGTTAAAAGAGGTCTTTTCATCACATCAGGCTTCCCTGGTTGTTGTCTGTCAGTGCAAAATAATTTCGAACAACAGTCTTCAGCCAGTCATGTAGTCCACAGTTCACAACCTGTTGTTGCTGTAGGATTGTGGGACTGTAGGAATGCAGGACTGTGGACTGTAAGACTGAAGGCCTGCCAGACTGAATTAGTTCAGCCACTCTGCATAGAGGCGGGACCTGGTTTTGTAGACATACCACATCTTTTCCCACCTTCTCTTTGAAAACTCCATCCTCGGTGTCACTGGTGGGTCCCCTGGTGGAGTCGACTGTGAGTCACAGTGCATGAGGAGCACCTTGGAGCGAAAGTACACGTCTGTGGCCTGAAACTGCTCAACCAGTCGTATGCGCTTTGCCAGTCGTGTTGCCATTTTGTCAGATACCCCCTCCTCTTGAGAATCTGTCTCCATGGCACTGAATAGCAGTGGAACTGAGGACCGGGAGACAAGCTAGTGTGCTATGAGCAGAAAGCAGCAGAAACAGTACAATATGTACAGGTCCATGTGCAGTCTACCAGTCTTGCAGTCCAACTATCATGATACAGGCTACCCAGTCTGCTATTTTGTGGTAGTAGATGGACTGTGGACTGTGAGACTGCACTGCCCGAAGACTCCTTGCAACATACGCAGACCACAACTGTCATACTTTTGAGATCTTGTCTCATGAGACTTGTAGTCATTGTGCAGTGGAGTTTTTCAGTCTTGCAGTTGAAAAGTCTGGTTCAACATATTGATTCTCTAGGACTGTAGAGGACTGCAAGACTGACTGTACTCCATGCACACTGCACAAGACAGTCAGTCTGTGTGCATGTGGCTATTGTACATGGGTCCCAAATACAGTTCAAAGTCCTTGGGCCCACAAGTGTGAACCTCCTCTTCAGCAGTCAGTCTGGCAGTGCAAAACCAACACAAACAAAACACACAACAGCTTGTTCTCAATCTTGGGACTGTAGACTGTGGGACTGCCAGACTGTGAGACTGCAGAAGGAAGTAATCAGTCCTGCATGCACTGGGCATACTCACGTAGTCTGGTCTTGAAGACAAAAAACTGTTTCTCCCAATCTCTCTTTGACATGTCCTCAATATCTCGTGGTGTCATCGGAGGACTGGGGAGACCAGGTCCAGACTTCTTGTTGTTCGAGTTCATATTGTTCGAGTTCATGTTGCCATCATTCTCTTTGGCAGCTATTTTGGCCACATTCGCTTTGGCGAGGTGATACATGTCGGTCTGCTTGAGATTGTTGAGAACTCTGCGTCTCTTGGACACCCTCTCACAGTATGTGAGTACCTTGCTGTCAAAAGGTACATCTCCGTCCATTGCGCCAGGGACTGTGAGACAGTGGGATAGTCTGAAGTCAGAAGCCAAAAAAACTGCTGGAAGGAATATATTCAGGGCCAGGTAAGTTTCTACACCTATAAGGTGTCAGTGTTAGGCAGGCCCCCAGTCCAGAATGTAGTCTCTTCAGGTGCAGGTCCACAGTCCCACTGTCCACACTGTCGACAGTGAGACTGTGGAACTGCATATGAAGTCCAGAACACCCAGCCTCTTTAAAACATACCTTCCAAGCCCACTCTGCCCCTCTACATCGGCGCTGCTGGTGCCGCTGCAGCAGCCGCTGTGCCCTGGTGCCCAGCATCTTGGACATCTTCCACGAGGCAGACCTGGGCAATCAGGTTTTTTCAGGGTTTTTGGAGCCTTATCAAACAAAGGAGGTCGACACGGCCTTGTCTTGAAAGTCTGGGTTTTTGGGTTTGTAGGGCTGTAGGACTGAGGGTTTAGGGGTTTTGGAGCTTCATAAAGAGGCTGACACAGCCTTGTCTTGAAAGGCTTTTTAGGACTGTAGGACTGTAGGCCTGAGGGTTAGGTTAGATTTTAGAGTAGTTGCAACCCTCTCTCCTGAAGGAGCCTTCTCCAAACCAAAGGCCGACAGAGCCTTGTCTCCAAATTCTTTAAACCCTAAACCCTAAACCCTTAAACGCTAGAGGGGTCCTTTACGACACGACGACGACGACCACGATACCAGACGAGAGCCAGAACCCCAGGGCCCAACCCTTAAATTCTAATAACTCTACACCCTAAATCTTTTAAAAGTAAACATGAGCTTGCAGCTCAGTGGGCTGCAAGACTGTGGCACTGACAGTGCAGCTACAACTGACAGTCAGTGCAAGAGTCAGTTTTCTCCGATGCGCCACATCTCTGTCTGGCTGTGTTAGCCGAGCTGACAAAACTGAGCTGGCAAAATCAGTCGAGGAACGACTATTTGTCGGGACTCAACTGCAGCTGCACCTACAAGCTCTACGTGTGCAGACAAGGGCCACAGTCTAACAGACCAACAGCAATAATGATTCATATGACTGGTGACTGTAGGACTGTAGGACTGTCTGGATCTTGCATCTACATCAGTGCAATGACATCCTTTGGAAGCTTGACTGTATCTTTCATACAAACACTGGGGTACATGCCCTTCAGCTTGTTGGCCTGGTCATCATACTCAAGGGCAAAGCAAATCTGGACCTGAGTAAGCTGGGACAGTACCACATAACTGGACAGCTTGGCAAAAGAGATCTCCTGCGGCGGGAAGGGACTGCTGCTATCCTCGCCTGGCTCTTCAATTGTACACTTGAGGCATGCCGGTTCCAAGGCCTTGACTGTCCACACAACATCTGTCCCCGTAGTCTCACTTTCACAACTGTGGAGGTACAACCCCACTTTTGGCAATCCTGCCATTGACATGGCATTGAGGATCCCCCCCAAGGCAGCCGGCTTCTCTGCATACTTCTGGAGCGCTGCTGGCAATGTGCTGCCATTCTTGGCCTTGAGCAAGGCTGCCGACTCTGCTGTGAGACTGTAGGCAATGATTGAATCAGAGCCTTCACTCAGCAAAGATTTGGCTTCATCTCCTCGCTTGAACCTGCCATGGACCACAAACATTTGGCCCTCCAGGTTCGAGTCTGTCAGGCCCTTGACATAGAGCTTTCCATCCTTGGACACAGCAAACTGATATGCTGTGATGCCAGGCGGCTGGCACCTGCCCATGTCTGGACTGATGGACTGTAGGACTGAAGACAGTGTCGATGATGCCCGGCTCGAGGTGTCCAACCTTGGAGATCTACAAATCAACATATCTATTTTGAATGTTTACAAAAAAGACTAAGCCCCAGGAAAAACTATGTGACAAATCAGAATGCCATCTAAGAAACTCCTGGACAGAAACATCTGCATCACGCTTCGCACGGATAGTCCCTGAAGGGTTGAACTCATCATTGTGCTTCTTCAGAATGTCAGGCCACGACAGTCCCTTCCATACCTCTGTCTCAGGCAGAGTCACTTTGTTGCAACGCTTCCCTCTGGCAACTGTGTCGATCAGAAGCAGAAGCTCATTGTTCGGGGATGGCAAAGTCAACTTGAACTCTGAAAGGTTCAGGGTCGGACTGCTCGACTGTGGGACTGGGGCCTGTATCATGCCATCTGGAAGCTTGGCCAAAGGGTACTCACCACGTCCAATGGCACCCTTGACATGCTCTGCAATGACTGACTCAATGTTGGTTGCCACCTGCTCCTTGAATCCCTGGTTGCCAACCCATGATGAAGCAACATAGGCGAAATCAGGCCAGGACCTGGGGGTGACTGCATTGAGACTGGCACAAGTCACAGCCAACTCTGCATCATAGGGTGCAACATCCTTGACAATCACAGTGTGTGTTCGGTTCATCTTGGTGCCCTTCACAGCTGCCATAACAAGGTCCATGAGAAAACTTTTGCCTGAAAACCATTGCTTGCCTTAGATGCACACACACACACACACAAACACACTCATCAACCCCACACAGCAGCCACCACTATATGTGGAAGTCAAGACTCGCTCCAAGTCCATATCTCCATTGGTCGACCCAGCTTGTGCAAATGAGAGGTCCTTGCTGAAGTTCTGCATCTTTGAACGTTCCATGCAATGCACCAACCCTGGGATTGCCTTCCTCTTCACAAGCACAGAGGTTGCAAACACATTCTTGGACTGAATGGACTGCAAGGACTGCGAGACTGTAGTAGACTGCGAGGAAGGGGACTGTAGGACTGGAGTCGCATCCTCTGCCCCCTCTGGAACACTTGCCTGCGGCAGCATCAGCCACAGCTCAATGCCCAAGTCACGTTCATCACTGTACATGCTGTCGACATCGAACAAGGCCTGTGCTTTCAGGATCACTGCATTCTCTACAGTTTCCAGTTCATATTTCCACATCTGCTGGTGGGCCAGAACCTTCTGCTCGCGCTCACTCTTGCTGACTCTTCCAACTCCATGCACCGGCTGGTTCGGGGGGACAATGACATACATCAGCGTGTTGGGACTGTGAGACAGTTCGACTGCGAGCTTGCTTGTGACTTGCTTGATGACTGAACTGGCTGCATTCCCAAGCATCGGAATGTTGAGGACTCCAAGGACTGGGACCTGCAACACAGAACACATGTGGACTATGCTGAATTAATTAGTAAACTTGTCTTTTCGAACCCAAGTGCCTGATGTGTCTCTTTGAGCAAGCGGCCAGCCACAAGACGGTGAGCAGTTTGCTCAAAAGACTCAGCAGCATTGCAAGTCTTGGCAACACCCACTTGAAAATAGACCTTCCAGGCTGCTTGAGGAAGCTCACTTCAAAATATACTTATTGGGGCTAAGGATCTAGACTTGAAAGACAACACATATTTGTTGAAATTAACTACTCTCCACCTGGTGATCTGACCATGCTGTGTCGATTGAGGACTGCTTTGACTTCTGCCACTCACACTCAGCAGCAATTGTTTGAACACTGTGGCGGTGGACTGCTGCTCGATGCACTCTCATCAAGTCCTGCTCCTTCTTCAACCCACGTGCCAAGATAATCAAGGACATAACTCCCTCTTCAGTCTCCTCATCCGCCAGGACCATGAGGTCTTCAGGGAGTGGGCTGTCTGACTGTGGGACTGTTTGACTGTTGATGTCACTGATCTTGAAATCAGATCTCATAGCAACAATCTCTGGGAGCAACTTGCTGTCCAACCAACCACAACGCCAGTTCTGCATGAGCTTCTCAAACTGTGGGCCTGTGAGACTGGCTTTGAGCTCGGACTGAAAGTGGACCATCAAGCATGCCATCACATACACCTCCTGCTCTTTCCCGGCATCTCTGAAACCACTGCAGACTGCCTGCTGGTGAATAGGTGGGGTCTGATTTCTGTCCAAGTACTCCTTGATCTTCATGTCCCACTTGTTCTGCATCCGGACAAGTGTTTCCTCCACCTTGGCCCAAGAATGCCTGCAAATCTCATACCACAATGGGTTGGCCTCCCTCTGAACTCGAAGAAGCCCGATCTGTGGCTTCGCAGGATTGAAGTGAGGCAAAGCAATGCAGCCCAGAGTGATGGCTGTGTACTGGGGGGCCTCTGTCCCCCAGATTACTTTCAGTAGCCGGCGTACAGAGTATGGCGCCTGGTCGAACACATACAGTGCCGAAATCTCATCCGGGTTGACTCTGGACTTTCCCACTGCTTGCTTGTTGTGCTTAGAGATGGCCTCTTGGAGCAGGTCGTGGCGTGTCTTTCTGGTTCCACAGCTCTTTTGTGAGACACAATCCGGTCGAACCTGAATGGGCTGCAAGACTGAGAGACTGCAAATCATTCAACCCTACACATGACATCCAAACTACTGTGTGTGAGCTGAGATCCCAACAGAAAGTGCATGTTGGCAATTGACGGTCTTGATCTGGAACTGGCATCAGTCTTGATTCTGAGACTGTCCAAGGACTGCGCTTCGACTGACTGCTTTGGGTTGCAAATGCCAAAGACACCTGAGCTCTGAAACAGGGCCAAAAATCAATTGATTGAATCTTCAAAAACAAACAGACAGCTTCATCTGCATGCAAAAAGATTTAATGCACTGAGACAGGAAGCACAAACACTTGAGAAGACGACGTGCAAGTTCCTGCTTGACATCCTCTGCCAACAAATTGCCACTACCCATCCAGTCCAGCTTGATGGCTGTCCAGCACAGCAGCTGACAGGCCATTGTCACAGAGGAGCCAATACTCAAGGCAATTGTGAAATCATCAATTGGTCCCTGGCTTGGAAGCAGACTGTTGGCCGCTGCAGCTGCTGAACAATGCTCGGGACTGTTGGCCTGTGTGACTGCACGTCCTGGTGTCCATTGGTGTGGCCAGTTGAAAAGCACTTCGAGGGGGTATTTGTCTGTCTCTGCACCTGAAGTCACCAAGAACCGCTGCATATTGTCTCTGATGCCATGCAGAGGTGGTGCACCTTTCACATGTGAAATCTCAGCAAGACCCAGCTGC